CGCTCTAGAGTGGAAAAATTGTATCAATTGCATTCAGAGACCAGTTGACCAGATCCATAGTTCTTTTGTTTTCGAATGATAGGTAGAAGAAAGGCTTGATCCRGCAGCAAAGCAGGGAAAAGAGGGAGGTTYRGGAGAGAGAGCAAAAAGCGTCTTAGCGTTTTAGGGGAAATGTTTGGTTTAGGCATAAATACAGGTACAAAATTGAACGGAAGTGATTACAAAGTCCTCAGTTTGATGCAAGTACAAGGATGTGTGTGTGTGTGTGTGTGTACACGTCTGTGCCTTTACTTATAAATGCACAGACATTTACTTAGATAGCTAAATACTAATTTATAGTTTTGTGTGTCATCCAAACATTGTCTGTTTTATGTTTTCTCATCTAGACTATCATGGCTACTTGAAGGCAGCTAGGAAACTCAAAGACCTTGCTCAATATGATGTTGAACGGATGGGATGAAGAGCCCATCGGTGGGATTGACTCAGGATCTGACATCTCGGGATACAGGTTTTTGTCCACATGGACACGTTAGGCTGTCTGGGAACCAACCTGCCCCTGCCCAACAAGATCAGTCAGACACAGAGGAAACCTCTGAGTACTTCGAAGAAGAAATTGATATTGTGTCTAACAGATAAAGCTATACTAACAAACATTTTCGACGATTATTGATTTTATTTCTTGTGAAAAAAATGTTATAAAAAGTTATGAATAAACATGTTAAATGTAAAATCAGTCTTTTGTTGACCCAAATATAATAAATATAATCCCCTTTAGCAAAAACTAAAGACATCTTTTAAATTCATCGCAAAAACACATTGATTCTAATTGGGGGCATTTTTGGCCCCACTTATGGAAGAGTKTAGGTATTGGTCGTCCATGCATCCTACGGTTAATTTACATTACATGAACATGTTAACATGAAAATACTGAACATGTACCATCTACAGACTGATTRACTGATGGAGCATGTGCCACTGTGCTTACATATTACCCAGGTGGAAGAAAAAGTAATTCCCACCAACCGCATATGATTTAGACAATRTTTGAATTGTTTAGTTACTTTCCACTGTGTTCCTGTTATTTATATTCATTACCTAAAATGACTCAAAGGTTCAAATTTCTGATTTTAGTATAGATTCTAGAGCATAACGTTCTGGTATCAATATTTCAGTATTGATCTGCTCATCATTATCTAAAAGAGGAATGTCTTTTTAAAATCTTTAACAATTATTTAGAACATGTTTTATAGATACATCATGATTTTACTTTGTATACAACCCATTTAAAGCAGGGTATTCATGTATCATATAAGCTTCTTTTAAATTTTAATACAAGCAGTAAACTATAAAAGGCAACTATCAGTGAGCCTAGATACTACAACTTTAAAACACAGTTTTATTATCCAGTACATTCAGGACATATTGCATGTGATAAAGTTAAGGTGCAGCACTATATGGCGTGAGCTCTATTGTAAATCTATAACCCAGCTCCATACGCAGTAACAAGCTCTGTGCATTGCATTTATGTGACACGTTCTGCAGAATGTGCTTCATCTACAGCAACACATGAGAACAAGGTTTTCCTAAACCACATGCTGTTTTTTTTAACTTGAGTCTATATTGGATTTAAAATACTTTTATAGAAGAACTTACATGTACATGACTTGCCATGTCTTGGTTTATTTAGGAAAACAAACTGAAACAGAAAGGCAGAATAAAAGTAATACAAAAACAGCTGAAAGCTTTSTGTGCAGAGCACCAGTTTTGTGGGATGTTTTGCTAAACACCCAAACATGAATATCTAATAAAACTTGACAGAAAGGGTTTCATTGCATTGTTAAAACTTGCTGTTATCAGATTACTACCATGTGACTGAGCTCTGTAAAGAGTAGATAACTGTGGAGACATACGGAGGTGAGTGAGTTTCTGTGAAAGGCTGTCTTTTTAAATATCCTTCAAAAGCTGCAGAAACCAACCTAAGAGGTGTTTCTTTTAATGGATGCGGGCAAAGTCATCCTTTCAAAGCAACTTTTACAGACTGGCAGTAAGGGAAAGACAGAGATGGATTCAGACCCTGAATCCATGGCTGATGTCATTACAACAAATACAATTCATTTAGGTAAAGTAAATACAGCATATTGTGGTGAAAAGGCTTGGGTAAATATTGGCACTTATCCAAAAAGCTGTTACCAGTTGATGCTGCTCATGCTAAAGGAGGAGGAGACATTTTTTCCCCATTGGTGATTGTGTCATCTTGACTTTTACTTTTTACGCAAACAGATTATATTGCTTTACTAACAACCACACATGGAATGCCCTACCCACCCACACACACACACACACACCACATTTAGTGGTACATTTAATGGATGTAAGAGGGGTGAAAGAGGGGTTTGTGGAGTTAAGATAAGGAGGAATTCAGACCAAAGCATTGCAGTTTCACTTTATATAGACCCCAATTGAATGATTTAAATGTGTCACGATTGATAAAAGGTGGAACCCAAAATGAAGGCAGACACGAGGGCTTTAATGTAAAACAAAATCTGATTTAAAAAAATAACAAAAGAAAAAGCTGACATGGCAGCAAAAGATTAACAAAAATAACAACAATGAAAAATCATGAAGTCAAACAAGGCTTGAGCATGAAGTCAGGCAATGATCCACTGGGACAGTAGAGACAAGTTGAATACCACTGGGGGTGATTGGGGAGTGGAAGCACCTGGCTGATTACAGACTATGGACAGGTGTGAGCAAGCTGGAAAAACACTTGACACAGGAAACACAGAAAACTAACAGGAAATAAGAAAATAAAATACAAGAGTACCAAACAATGAAACAGCCTGAGAAATTCTAACAAAAAATAACCATAAAACAAGAATCGTGACAAAATGTGGAGAAAAAAAAAAGGAATTGAAAGCATGGTATGTCTC